AGGTCCTTTCTTTGTCCTCAGTTGAACCCCCAGCACGACATCTGACGAGAAGACCAGGCAGGCCTGGATGGATGCAGCTGTCTCCTGATTATGAGATACAGATCCTGTCATTGCCGGTTTACTCTTCCTCCCTAGAGACCAGCACTAGGTTCAGGCAGTCGGGATGGATGGCAGCTCGACACCTTGACAGGGGATCCCTCTCTAGCTATAATTGCTATTCCTCTCACCCAATCCCTTGTCATGAATACCCCCAAACAGCAATCCTGCAACCCAGTATCGCTTATTATTTCTTCTTCTTCTTCCTCTTCTTCTTCTACCGCCTGCCCCTGCCCAAGGCATCAGCCTGGCCGGCCAAATCGCCATCGTCACTGGCTCCAACACTGGCTTCGGCTTCGAAACCAGCCATCAGCTCCTCTCGGCCTTGGCCAGCTCTTTCTCACCAAACTCAGCAAACTCGTTTCCCCCCTCAGTGGCAGTCATAAAAGCCGCTTCACCGGGGCCCGTTCAAGACTCGGAGTTCAATCGCAAACACGATGAAACATTCACAGGCGTCATAGCAGCGATATCCATGCGTCGAATCACCAAGCACGACTGCTGTAGGAGCCCGGATGATTACCGGAGCTGCCGTATCCATAAACAGTCTTCCTCGCTCCAGCAGATCGTCCCGTACGTATTAGCGCCTTGCCTAATACATTATACGAGGAGCTATGAGAAGTAACCTAGCTGACTTGTCGTAAAATGGCACCGATGGTTTATAGTGGGGAAGGGAGCTGGGTTGCTGCACAGTTGTGAAGGAAACCATGACTGCGCTTTCGTTTACAAAGGTTGAGGATATGTTGGTGCCAATGGCTCTGTCCCTATAGTATAAGGGTTGATCCATCTGGCAAGGTCGGTTCATCGCTCAGAGCATCGACCTGGTCAACTCTTCTTTCAAAACTGTCTTTTGGCTGATGAGTGGGCTTCTTCATAATAATAATAATAGTAGTAGTAGTACTAGCCTTATCTCGGCTACGGTTCCAGGCCTGGATCCCCCACCACCAGCCCATGAACCCCACTAAACATGAATTCAGTCTTCGGGGGATCGGGCGATAGCCAGAAGCCCAGCACGTCGGGAACAACAAGTTTCCTACGCGAGGGTGGTGGGTTTAGATTCCGCACGAAGTGTCAGGAACCGGGCGGGAAAAGCCTTAGTCCGAAACAGCCGCCAATCAAGCTCCGGGGGGAAGCGGGAGTTCCCCAACTACTTTCTGTCTATCACTGTCGCTCCACCCTGGCAGGTGTCCGCTCCATCTCCAGGTCCTGCACGGATCCTCGTTACCACTTCTGCCTCCTCGCCTTCGACCCATGTTGAAACGCGCCTTTTCCGCGCGGGCCGCGTGGTTGATGCCTCGTCGACAAGCTTCCATCAACCCGAGTCCACCAAGGAAGTTCACGACTGATCACCCACGGATGTCCAACGGTAAGCTACGAAGAGGAAACTCCTCAGGACTGTCCCTTCACTGCTAAGCTCATTTCTCCCCTAGAATCAATTCCGGATGAGTCACTTTTCTCATACTCCTCCGGACGATTCCTCTACAACGAACAGGCACGTCTTCGAGAACGACATGTGACGTTTGATGTCCCTGCACTGAAGAAGGCTATTGCAAAGCATGTCGGTCATGGGAGTGTTAGGGAGCTCGTCAAGCTCAGTGAAGGGGGGTTCAATCGTGTGCTACTAGCCACCATGGAAGACGGGTTTCGGGCCATAGTAAAGATCCCGTACTGGATCTCCGTGCCCAAGACTTATGCGACAGCCAGTGAAGTTGCAACCCTGACATTCCTTCGTTCCAAGGGAATACCCGTTCCTGAAGTGTATGGCTGGTCCTCGACCGCCGACAACCCAGTCGGTATTGAGTACATTGTCATGGAACATGCCGCGGGGGTGGGCGCCGATACTCGTTGGTTCAGCAATACAAAACACCAAAAGCATGCGCTGGTAACAGGGATTGTCGACATCGAGAAAAAGCTGTTCAGCATCCCTTTTGGTGCTGTTGGGAGCCTTTATTTCAAGAATGATCTTCCACCCCAGTTACAGGGCCCGCTATATGTGGCAGGCACACCAGACGATGCCGGAGACTCGGAGACCTACTGCATTGGGCCAATCGCTGATTATATGTTCTGGTATGGGCAGCGGGCTGAAATGGAGCTAGACAGAGGACCATGTATGCTGTTCCCCGACGTGAAGTTATAGGCATGCGATTGTCAAGCTGATCCTTCTCCCAGGGCGCGACCCGAAGAACTTTCTTCTTGCAACAGCCAAAAAGGAAGTCAAGTGGATTGAGAGATTTGGAAAGCCCCTTGAAAGTGACTTTCCTCACAACACCGTCTTTCCTGGAGTCAAATCCCCCCAGGATTACCTGGACCTCCTCAAGAAGTACCTGGCAATCGCGCCGTATCTTCTTCCAAAAGAACCTGGAAATAATTTGAGCCGACCTACTCTACGCCATCCTGGTATGCCCCTCCTGCAACCCACCGAATAATGATGCCTTGGTGTCTAATCATCAAGGCAAGACCTTACCCCTAGCAACGTCTTCATCTGCCCCGACACATTCAAAGTCACATCCATCATTGACTGGCAACACACTGTAATCATCCCATTGCTTTTTGCAGCCGGGTACCCCAAGTTGTTTGAAAATCCCGAGCCTGAGCCGCCCACTGGCTTGATACCACCAAAGTATCCCCCGGGTTACGATGATATGAGTCCCGAAGAAAAGTCCCAAGTTGATGAGCTCATTCGCCGGCAAAGTCTTTTCTACCTCTATCGTGTCTTCAATGGCGGCCTCAATAAACTACACCTTGAAGCCCTGCAAGACCCGCTCATTTTACAACGCCAGCACCTCGTGGATTTTGCAGGCCGCCAATGGTCGGGAAACCTCATGACGCTACGTGGGGCTCTCATGCGCATACGTGATCTTTGGCCTCATCTCGGCGGCAAAGATGCCCATCTCGAATGCTCCATAGAATTCTCGGAACAGGAAGCACGTGACCAGGCTGAGAATGAACCCATGTGGTACAATTTGAACACGCTTGTCAGTCATTGGCGCGACGAACTTGGAGGGCTCTCAGAAGAAGGCTGGCTGCCTGCGGAGAAGTATGACGCGGCTGTGAAGAGGAATGAATCCCTGAAAGCCGAATTCTCGGACGGCGGCAGTCCAGATGAGCTGCAGAAGATCGAACGTGGCTGGCCGTTTCAGGATCACGAGGAGTTCTTTTGATAGCGAGCACTTGATTATGAGCAGTGGTTGTACTCTCCAGGCAGTCATCAGTCTACGGGCGCTTAGGTAGTTGTGTGTTGAAGAAACATGAACGTGCTGGTTGGATTCGGGGAGGCCCCCACAAATGCTGGCGCTCTCTACTTGGTAAGCCAGGTCACATCACGAGCCAATAGCAAATGAGGGTGAAGGGGTGTTGACAGCTCGCAGATGATCAGCTTTACGCTTGAAGCCCCCTAACCCCTCTTTTTGGCGCCCACATGCATGGCGCTATAATCTGTGGGTTTTCATTGGTAGTTCACCTGATCTGGATCTCAGAATACCTCCTGCCAACCCCCGTTGATATACCTATTTATAGGTGTTGGGATGTGATTCACATGCATAAACGCCCGTTCCTACTCAGTTATCGCCAATGAAGCTAGTGGCGTACCCGCCAGGACAAGGCTGTGGTATGCGTCCTATGGGCTTTCGAACCCCGAGAACATCAAGGCATGGCCTGTTTCCAGGCATGAAAAGGCGCGCATTTCCATCAGAAAGTTCTCCTTCGTCTCCATCCAACAGTGTCCAGCTATCCTTTCTTTTATCATTCTCAATTCTTTCCGGCCCAGCCTCAGCGAGAGCTTGAAAAATAGAACAACACAATGCCGTCCACCATCAAGAGCATCTACACCGCCGTCAAATACATCTGCCAGCGGCCTGCCGACCTCAAGAAGTTCTTCATTCCCACTGTCAACCGGGGCAAGACGGTCTGGCCGAAGACCCAGGCGGACTTGCTCAAGTACGGCGTCCGATGGGATTACGATGGCGTCGTGGTGAGGGACGATGGCAAGGAGTACCATAAGTATCAGCTGCAGCCAAATGCCGGCAAAATCCCTTCCTCCATCAAACAGTGGCGCGAGAAGAATGGCGGCACTCATGCGGTCATGACCACTCTGTACATTCCCAAGGGCCTCGAGCCCGAGGTGGATGTTTTTGAACAAGCGATGGAGGAGGCCATTGAGAATATTCCTTGAGCATGATATCGGTACGTCTCTCTATCTCTTCCTGTCACTGGTCTGTCATTTTGATTCAATGTCACCATTTCTTTTGTCCTTACACTGATGTACCATTAGGACTATGTTTAAGGATTGTAAGGCCGATGCTCTTGTCTGCGCAAGGGCTCTGACGTATCTGGTGCTGGTAACCGGCAGTAGAGGTCCATTGGCTTATGCAAGGCGTTTACAGGTGGATGTTTGTCGTACATGAGAGCCATGTTTGAGAAACTTTATATAAGGTTTACTGTCCGTTTGCTGTATTTGAATTGGAAAGAATGGGGTGAATTGCTACGGGATATGTCAATATATTCTTGTTTTTGATGTACCATCGCCCATACCGTCGTTATGTGCCCTATGATGTCGAATGCTGCGTCGGTCACCCCCTGATACAAATACTAGATACGTTGACGGGCCATGTACTACGTAATTGCCCTGTGGATTATTATGTCCATGCAAAAAGTCATCAGTAAGAGGAGGTCGATATCCTTTCTAACATGGAAGGGATTACGAATTCATCAGCCCTTGTCAGCCCACATAATAGTCTAAATAATAGTCTAAATATTATAAAACCGGATTAGAAAAGCGCATCCGAGGCTTCCTTCTTTCATTCTTTGTCCTCCCTCCCTCCCTCCACCTGCTACCTACCCATTGGAACTTGGCATATGAGCTCAGGACAGGGGTATTCCATACAACCAGACCGAAACAAAAAAAAAGCCGACAAGGACGCGATTTGAACGCGCGACCCCTAGGGGATAAGATAACTTCCAAGAAGGAATTCACTGAGAGATAATTAATATGATGTGTTTTTGTAGTTGGATGAAAGGTGGGATCAACATACAGTCTTACGTCTTAACCACTCGACCACCTTGCCTTAGCTGGATTGTTTCGTTAAAGCTAATGATGAGGCCTTTGTTGATGGTAATAACCTGCTTGGCTATTTATCTGTACTTTGTAGAGTTTGTGCTGGGAAGGACCTGTAGGTCTATTATTATGTGATGTGTGCTGGGAGGGTTGGGTGTAGGTAGAGTTTCTGTAAGATACGTCTCTATTATCTAGGTACTCGGCAAAACTCATAACATGTATGCGAAAGCACTCCCCATTCGAAAGGACAACACTGTTGGAAGTGCCGATCAACGCCGGTGGAGTGACTGTCAAGTGTAATGGGCGGTACCAGTTGCTGGCTTGTATATGTGTGATCTATTGCTCTGGGTTGATAATATAATTCACTACAATGCAGTTGCGGATTTCCAACTCATCATTGAACCCACCTCCCCTATCAGGATATCACGTTCAAGTCAAGGACAGACACAGTTCTCCACATCACTACAAATAGTCTCTTGTGCGCTCCTCACAAAACTCCCAGAACTCCTTTGCGCGTCCTGTTCCACCCTCCTCCTGCGTCTTCATCGCATTCAGCAAGTTCAGCGCTACCTCCTGGTGGATCCGTCCCCAGGGGATGACATAGGCGCCGTTGTTTTCCAGACCTAGATCCGGGGACAACCCCGCATAGAGCACAGTGTGAGCAGCCAAATCCGGGCTATGCAGTAGCGGCCAGGAGAGGATTTTCATCCAGCGCGCGTTCCGGAGAAGGTTCGTATTGGCTGCGCCGGGGTTCTGCGCTACGCTGACAATCCCCTGTACACCGTACCGTCGGGCCATCTCCACGGCCAGGAACCAGTTCCCCAGCTTGGAGGTGACATAGTTGCGTACCGCATCTTGGGGCGGGTTCGTCAGCTCCGACATGATGATTCCCTCGGGCGGCGCGGAGAGGTCGGCAACTTGACTGCTTGTCCAGACGACGCGGACGGAACCGGTTGGGGAGGGATCCGATGCTGCAGCGGCCTCGAGTAGCGGAGTCAGAAGCTGGGTAAGCAGAAACGGGCCCAGGCAGTTGGTTGCGAGTTGGAGCTCGATGCCCTGCTTGGAGACACTGCCCACCGGGGGCTGGGAGACGCCCGCGTTGTTGAACAGCAGGTCCAGCTTGGATTCTTTCGTTCGGAAGGCATCAGCTGTGGCCTTGATGGTGGTGAGGTCGTCTAGATGCAGCGGGAGAAACTCCAGTACACCTGGGCTGTTTTCACCCTCGGTCTGGGGAACAGCTTGCTGGATAGCTTGTATGGCAGCTTGGGCGTTAGCCTCCGAGCGGCCCCCTATGTAGACTTTGGCGCCTTTGCGGTAGAGCATCTTGGCCAGCTCGAAGCCAATGCCTGATGCGCCACCGGTAATCAGGACGACCTTCCCAGATTGCCTGTGGAGGTCATCAGGCGTGAAGGTCGGCCGAGGGGGGAAGAATTGGGAGAATTGGGCTCCCATGGTGGAAAGATGCAGGGAACTGAGGCATGACGAGAAATTCAAAAGTGGGATTCGTTCTCGACATATTTAAACCTAGAGCAGGCAGGGGTCGTGATAGACCCTGCAACTCATCTGGGAACCCATGTCTATATGTCGTTAGCTAAAATGGAGTCCCCATTCGATTCGTCCCTGAGGCTGACCGATGTTTAGGCGACCGGACCAACCGGCGGCCTATCCCCGGGCAAGTTTTAGCGGCGTGCTTGTTGGACAGCACTAAGCTGGCGGGTCTTACTGGCTCGTCGAATGTCGATACTCGATAGTCCCTATGGAGTCTGTTAGCGTCAGGATCAAGAGAGGGGGTAAAGGGACATCGTGATGCGATAGTAGATGGTGCTCGTTAGTGCTCCTCTGATCCAACTTGCCATCAAGTAGCTGTCAGCCATCTTCAAAGATGATATTCCAAGGACAGCTGTCTCGCATCCTGTCCCCACACCTCAATAATACCAGAGCTAGAGGACATGCATCCGAGATGTTGTCACTTCACTCACCACATCGCGAATATACCAATCTCTGACTAAGCATCGCGGGTTGATTCCAAGAGCAGCGCAAAAACCCAAACAGGCAATATCAATTCCATGCACATCTCTTGTAGGGAAAATCTAGACAGCTGCAATCATCATGACTGCCCAACATCCCTCCTCCGCCACCACCATTTTCCTCGACCAGCCCCCAAGCTGCCTGCAATTCCACCCCTCCTCCCCAAACCACTTCCTCGTAGGCACCTACCTGCTCTCCGAGCACAAAGACTCCTCCACTGACAGCATACAACAAACCAAAACCGGCAGTCTGCAATTATGGCATTTGAATCCGGCCACTAACGAGCTGTACCCCCCCTCCCCTTCCTTTCCCCCTCCCACTATAGAACAAATATGTTAATGAAACATCTAGATCTCTCCGTCAAAAATACCCCCTCCCCTACGCAGTCTTCGACCTGCACTTCCACCCAACCGATCCCACTCTCGCTGCTATCGCCACCAGCGCAGCCTCGGTGGTGTTCTTCCGCATTACTCCCCCTGCAGAGGGAACGAGCGAGGAATCAGCATCCTTCATCACGGAACTGCACACGCATTCCGTCCACGAAGATCCCTCGATCCCCGCTCTCTATCTCGCCTGGTTACCGCGGAATTGGCCCAGTCCTAATTCTACTTCGTGTGATGATGATGATGGCTTCGCAGTCACCTTCTCCGATGGGAGAACTACGCTCTTCCACCACCCTTCCCCATCCCCTTCCTCATCCTCATCAGAGATAGCAATCACAGAGGGAGACTCCTTCCCCGCAACCCAGCAAATCGAAGTCTGGTTCGTAGCTGCAGCTACCTATCCCTCCCACGAGGACCAAAAACCAGAGGAGGGGGTCACGCCATACATCTTCACAGGTAATGATTTCGGCTCCCTCCACACCCGATGCTTCTCCCCCACAGAGCCAGAAACATGTCTCCTCTCCCACGACGACCGAGCCCGGTACCACACAGCTGGAGTCACATCCATCATCCCCCTCCCTGTTCCTATGTCGGATGGCGCGCCGTGGTTGCTCACGGGTAGCTATGATGAGTATCTGAGGGTGTATCATGCGTCTCGACGGGGGGAGGTGCTTGGGGAGGTGGGGCTGGGGGGTGGGGTTTGGAGGTTACAGATCTTATCTACTTCCACGTCCTCCGAAGGAGAAGGGACGGAGTGGGTGTTTTTGGTGTTGGCGAGTTGTATGCATGCCGGGACGACAGTGGTTAGGGTGCGGATGGTGCCTGGAGTGAGGTGTGAGATAGAGGTGCTGGCGGAGTTTACGGAGCATGAGAGTATGAATTATGCGTCGGATGTGTGGAAGTCCTCTGGGGGTTATGAGTTGCAGGGATTAAAGGAGGGGGAAGGGGAGCTGGTGTGTGTGTCTAGTAGTTTTTATGATCGGAGGGTTTGTGTGTGGCGGATGAATGTATGATTGTATGATTATCTGATTGTATGATTCTACAGGAGAACGGGGGTTTAAGCAAGGTGTAGAGGTAGAGGTAGTCGTGAGATGCGCTGAAGGATCATGATGCAGAGTGATAACAACAGGTATACAAACAAAACAAGCCCCGCCCGAAACCCAAGATGAATCCAATAAAACTAGACGATCGTCTCCAACTCGCGCGCATAGCCGATCGCATTCTCGATGATTGTGCCGCTGGCCACGAGAATGTCCTTCTCGGAGCGGGCAGCCGCCTCGGGCTCGACGGGGAAATATATGCGGCCATCACGCAGGACCCAGCCGCGCTGCTGGGCGAACTCGATCACGGCGCCTTCCGATTCCAGGAAGAGCAGGTTCTTGGCGTTGGAGATGGGGAGCGACGGGTACGCTTTTTCGGAGCAGTCGGCGATTTCGCTGCGGATGGTTCCCACGAGGACCTGTACCCATCATCATCATTAGACACCTTCAATCCAACAGGTCAGAATCAAGAGCAGTCAACTCACATTCGAAAACAATTTGAAATCCTCCGACGGCACCCTCTCCGAGTTCGTCTCCCTCCACACCTTATCATAACTTCCCTCCATCAAATTCCTCTCCAACTCAACCGGATACTTGATAAACGGATCATCTTCGACCCTCTTCCCCTTAAGACTCGCCTCCTCAACCAGTCCCTCCAACACGGTATGGAAGCTCGTGCTATCACCCATAGTCAGCAACAGGAGCAGATACAATCCCGTGATCTTGCTGCGCTGGCTATTCCGGATATCCACGGCACCGGGGTTCGAGCTGTCGCGCTCCAGGTCGTAGAACGGCTGCAGCTGCTGGTAGTATCGTGTGAAGGTGGGTGCGTCGGTCTGGCGGATGGAGGACAGGGCTCCGAGCTCGAGGACCTCACGGGCCAGAGCGACCAGCTCTGCGGGGGCCGAGGGAGTGGGAATTAGGACATTCTGAAGGAGGAGGGCTCGTTTGGCGCGGCTGAGGAGGTCGTTGGCAGATGAGAATTGTCCCCGGCTGAGGGCGCTGTGGAGTTCGGTCACGATGGCCTGGAGGTCGGTGGCCATTTTGGCGGTGGGTGAATGTGGGTGTGGCGGCGACGAATGGTTATTTGTAAGGGGTCAAGGTGATGGAGAAATAGAATAAATGGCAGGTAGATTTGGTGAGCTGTGGTGTGGTTTGGAGGATGATGCTGGTCGTGACGTTGGCAGCGGCAGCTTCCAGGAGCTTCGCCGACAGGCCGTCACGTGATATGGCCGTACTTAGGTACTACAGAGTAGACAGGTAATATCACCTTGTCTTTCACCTTGTATTGTTCATAATTACTCTTCTTTTGTTTTGATCGGATATATAGGAATTATCCAATATTCACGTACGTTTCTAAGCTCGAGTAATAGGTAAAGTGTACCGTGCGAGCTGCGCAGCTAAGAATTCTTGACAATCTGCTCCAAAGTTTGGTAGAATGGCGTCCCGAGGCCGGTGACCGGGTCCCATCCCTTGGTGGCATTCCAGCTTGCGTACGGAACCCGAGCTCCAGATATACCATCGCAGCCCACCGACCCCCCGTCCACAATATCGGTGAA